CATTGCGACAGCATCGTGAAAAAATAAGTATCCCACAAATGTGAAACAATATCATTGTACCATTATTATTACTAGTGAGGATCAAGGAATCCTAACACTAGAGAAAGTCCCATCTACACTCTCGGAAACTAAAAGAAAACTGCTCTGTTCTGAAAAACATCCCTTTTTATTCCTTCCAAGAGGAAATCCCACGCCGTTCCCTGGTTTCCTGCTCCAGTGAATTACAGGTTTCCTTCGCTCTAGAGCCTTCCTTGCCGACCTAAGTCCATGGCACTGCATTTGAGTCCACCTGTTTTCATTCTGACCTGCCCAAGTTGGGGAGAGCTGTTCACTCTTGGTATTTTGGGGTCCCCTTCCACTAAGTCAGCAGATTTTCCCGAGCAGTTGTCATGTTCCAGGCTCTGTGCTTGGGACCAGGGGCTCAGCTGGAAGAGGCATAATCCTGCCCTTTCTGTGGCACCATCCAGAGNTGGGTCTCCCCTTCCTGTCTGTGTTAGTTTGTTAGGGCTGCTGTAATACGGCACCACAAACGGGGTGGCTTAGACAGTGGAAATGTCCTGTCTCACAGTTCTGGGGGCTACAAGTCCAAAATCAAGAGGTCAGCAGGGTTGGTTCCCTCTGAGGGCTGTGGGGGAAGAATCTGTTCCAGGCCTCTCTCCTTGGCTCGGAGATGGCCATCTTCATGTTCATATAGCATTCTCCCCATATGTGTGTCTGTCCCCATTTTTAAGGACTTCAATCATATTGGATTAGGGTCCATCCTAATGATCTTATGTTAACTTGATCACTTGTGCAAAGTCCTTACCTCCAAATCACATCACATTCGGAGGCACTGGGATTAGGACTTCAAGAGATGATGGGGGGTGGGGGGACACAATTCAGCCCCTAACACTGTCTCAGCCCAGACCACTGATCTCTGTTTTCTATTCTCTGGCCTGTCCTGATTTTCAGCATCTGCAGCCCCGGGATCCCGCACCTCACCCTAAGAACTAAGCCCTGGATCCAAGCTGGAGCATTGTCACCAGTCAGTTCTT